TAAAGTGGCACGGGATCGGCGAGGATGGTACCTTTCTGGCCTGCGGCGGGCATAGACTTTACCTTGTGTCTCGGCGCGTTGTCACCGCAGCCATATTGGCTCTGGAGCACGCCTGCATGTGATAAAACTTATGCCTACATTCGGCTCTCCCATACCGCAAAATACTTATGTGTTCAGAAGCATGGATTTTGGGTGCATGAGGATGCCCACAACAGACTGTATGCCATGGAATGGTTGTTTCCAATTTCTCGTGAATATTATGTGTACCTCCATGTAGTCGTTTTCAGAAAAGGGGTGGCGACAACACAAAATGACTTCAGCTCGGTGGTGCTTTTTGAGCGCCGGGTTTCGAGCTCCGTGGTGAAAACCCCGGGTTTAGCGTTCAATGGTTGCACCTGGCAATGGCAATGTTTACACATCATGCCCTTGATGAAGGCATTGCTTTGAGGTCTGCGAGACATGCTCCCAAGGGGGGAAAAATGCAAAAATTGACCCTCAGTGATTGGATTAGGCGATGTTGATACTTGCGCCTCATTTCCTTCTTGAAGATATTGCTTCGAAGGACGGCGAGTGATGTTGCTTCTTATCATTTGTCAACTCTCTATTTTTTTCGCCCTTTTATTTTTTGACTTCATGCATCCTACTGTCTCGACTTGATCATGATGTTTTTGTAGAGATCAGATGTAATTGATATATCTTGATATTATAATTTATCTTTGGTCAAAAAACCATGAATAACCTTAGTGGGGCAAGCTGCTATTTCTCATTCAGGTTTTGGTTGCTGCCGCTATTTTCCATTCTCGTTTTGGTTCGTATTTTTTGTTAAAACTACAGATAATGCACTGCGTGTTGCTGCAGGAAATGCTTGCAACTATATCAGTGAGATTTGATTTCACAAAGCATTTATATTTAGATTTAGAAAAATGATAACTAAAATTAAAATGCATGTATGTGTACTATATTTGATTATTGCATAGTTGTAAACTATTTCCATGCATGTGGAATGATGGGACAGTTACATGTTAAGAAAATTAGAGTCAATGGGTATCAGCATTATTTTTCTGAAGCCGGTATAGGACCATGTCACGTATTTTTTTATATTGTAAGAAAAATGCTAAGTATATGTATTATCAAAAATAAATTAGTTATTTTTAAAAAGTGTACGTCGCACATTTAAAACATTGAAATGTGGTGTAAATTCTCATTCAAATTTAAAAAATTGTTTACCATTCCAAAAAAAATGCATGTGACATTATAAAATGTTCATGTGTTTCAAAAAAAATGCACGTAGCATTTAGACAAAATGTAATTCTGTATACAAAAATGTCATGTTATTCAAACATAAATATTTTGTACCATTCATATAATGTATGTTACATTTAAAAAAATCATGTGTTTCAAACGAAATGTTGTAGCATTTTCAAAATAATGTTTATCCAATGTCTATAAATAAATGTTTTAGAAAAATGTTTCATGTCAACCGAAAATATGTTTGTATGTGTGTTAATTTTTTTTTGAAAGAAGAAAAAGTGTTAATCATGTATTTAAAATAGTTAAACACATATAAGACAATGTTTTAGATGTATATGGAAAATGTAAAATGTAGGTGGCGGCGGCTACTCTGTAGCGATAGATGTGCCGGCGTTGCCAACAATGTCCCACCACGAGGTGGCCCAATAGGGAGTGCTTTTTTTTTTGGTTTTGTCAATTTTTCTTACTTTGTTGTTTTATTTTGTTCTCGTTTCATTTTCTTAAAATATGATCGGAAATGCTTTGGTTCAAATTTTTTAGTCCATGCACTAAAATTTTAAGACCCTGATAAGCAGGTGACTACCGGAGTCATTGATTAAGCAGGTCAGATGGGCTTAGCAGGGCTCGAACCTACAATATCACCGTTATGAGCGGTACGTTTCAACCAATTAAACTATAAGCCCAATCAGATCTCTACATGCCGGGAAGAGCGGACAGAAAGAGGAGACCTTTGCTCTATCTCCTTCTTCCTCTTCCCGGGGCCCCGAGGGTGTGCGTGTGTGCGTTCATAGGGGTGAGTGTATGCGCGTGTATATGAGCGCTTGTGTCTGTACTGATACTAAAAAAACGTTAGGGCCGGAGTGCTTCATGCCACGGAACCTCATGCCACATGTGTGACACTTATCATTTAGGATACTATTATTTTTAAAATCATTGTGTTTTAAAAATATATATTTACTGTGCATTAATTAAATGTGCAATATTATTTAAGAAATCTTGGTAGTGTATTTGAAAAATGTTCTGAAACCGGCGTGACAATGACCTAGCCTCTCACAGCCTGTAGAGACCAAATTGAGCCTCTCACAGCCTGTAGAGACCAAATTGATTAATTGGTTGTGCAGGTCAGGTGCATCGCGACTTGATGTATGTGGATGCTACGCTACCCAATCTTCAAGTGATGGTCCATGAGATCTGTCTCACGTCCATTGCATGATTAATCGGAAGAAACAATACTAGTAGAGAGGACCAATCAGTACTGAAAAGGGTAATATCTCGATTATTAAAATTGAATGGATAGGGCTGCACATCACTACGGTCTACGGGCATGCACCAAACGAGAGATCTCATTTGTGAGGCGAGTAAAGCATACACAGATACACTATAAGAAAATAACTAACAATTGATTATTAGATAGAGTGGACCTCTAGCATGTGGATGCATGGGCCAACCACATCAAATCGATTAATTAATTTCCCTTTGATGCCACGATGTGCATACAGATCCATCCGACCGATCCCTCCCTGCGAGCATATGTCGGTGTATGTGCGATGCGCGCGTATACTACGACGCAAAGACGTGAGACATACCTCGTGGTTTATTAGTCCCATTTGTATTCTGTGCAAAATTTTAATATTAAATTTAAATAACAAAATGTTTATGCATATTATAAAAATAATATAATTAAAAATTATGTTTAAATACGAATCTAACGATATAATTTTGATAACATGCATTAATATTTTGTTAGTTATATCTCTAGTCAAAATTTAACACAAAATATAAATGGACTTATAAATTAGGACAGAGGTAGTACTCCCTTCGTCCGGGTTTATTGGGCCCAAAGACAAAAACTCTAGGACCAAGGCAATGGAGTATTCCTCGTACATATCTCGTGCCTAGCATCCAATTGAAGTGCATGGACTGTCAGCGTTTAATGCTATAGTTGCTCCTAGGCGTGCATATTAGGCATGCATTGGCTGCATGCTCAAGAGATTTATATCCCACCAATTTCTCTCCACTTAAATAACCATCCAGCGCAACAACGGAAGGAAATCCGAGGAGAAATCAACACTTTCCAATGTGACTTAATTGCAACTTTAATTACGGGGCCTAATAGGAAGGGACACGCTTAGACTGCTCAAGGGCTTAATAAAC